CCCCCCCAACTCTCCCAAGTTTGAATTGCGCAACTTTGCAAATTAATTAAGCTTAATTCAAGTTGACATTTTAGAAGCACCTAAATCCTCATTGGTCAAAGTATGAAGTACATCTTGTAGCCCTCTTGAATTATATTTGCTTATCGAAAGGGTCTTAAGTTGTGATCAAGTTAGTATGTGTTCACCCTGATATCCCTTGGCTTCGCTTCCTCTAACTCTTTTCTGCTCTGATGTTATAGCCATAAAAGCAATGGGCGTGGTAGAAACTGCTGGTGCTAATATTCCTCAATTATATATTATACGAACTTCGTACCAAAGCCATGAATATATTGAAATAGGGGACTGGCGGAAAATTCTAACGCCTAGAATGAATGAATAAGTGGGTATACGGTCACTCGCCACGCGGCCAGTTGTATTAATACATTTAACATACGCGGAAAAAAATCAGGCCACATTAATTTGCGTTTCAACAACCAAATGTTTGCCAGAACATGAAATTATGCTAGTTCCTACTTCGAAATACTATTTTGTTCCCCTGTTAGCTGAATTAAAGCAAGTGAAATTAGAAATAAGTTCATTTTACCTTAGTCAGAGCAATTTCGAATTGCTGAAAACAATGATAACTCATTTTATGAGCTGTTTTGTGACAATCACAAAACTCAGTAGTATTCCTAACATAAGATCCATTTCATAGCCCCGAATGCTTCCCTCGGCTGAGGAAATTCTCTAATCTAGTTTTCTTGAATTCGATAAAGGAGCAACACAAGACTGGCTACCTGCTCATTGGGGGAAGTCTAAAAGGAATGGGATTTAGCGTGAAGAGGTCACAAGCTTAAAGGAATCGAAGACACTGATCCAGTGCCTGATGTACATGGGTTCATGAGATTGCATAAGTTTGGTCAATATTCTGTGTCAGCCATGTCGTCCTAGCATTTGTCATTGACGCTTGGAAACACATTCTTCGTGCCCACTTGCATGAATCGACACACCCACATTTTATTGTCTCACGTGGGATAGTTGGATGCACCAAATAGTGTCTACTGGTTGAGGGCACCCAATAACATTTTACTTTATTTGCCTGAGACTGAACCACTGTCCTTCATTTCCTAGAAATGCCTCGCCAACCGAGACAAGACAATGCACATTTCATGGACAACTGGTCTCTATTCACCCAGCAGTCAAACGCTTTCGACATACATTGTAAGGACACCACTTCACCATCTTCGCAGAGCACACAAACCACCCGTTTATACCAGTTGAGCATGGGCGAGAAAACGTGCCATTAATGGAACGCATTACTCTTACCTTATCTCTCTCTCTCGGTCGACAGGGAAATAAGAATAAATTTATATGCACGATCCTCCTCGACTTTTCGAGTCTTTCATCCATATTAATGATGGCTGAGTGGTTGAAATCGCACAAGATCAGCCAATGGAAAAGTGGAGGTAGTGGAAGAGAACGATCGGGAAAATAGCAAGAAAGGAGTAGATGAAATTGCAACATATGTGTATCGTGAACTATGACATTAATCCGTCTGTGCAACGAAACCTGAGGTCACATATTTGCGGTTTTTTTCTGGATTGGGAAAGGCTTCAAAACAATCATGAGTATATTTTAGATCTATTGTTGGCTCTACTTCATACTCTTGATTCCTTGTTTATTTTAGGTGAAGCCTCCGTTTCGTCCCTTCTCTCTCATCTCAATTTTTATTACCAATTATTCGCTCGACCTTTCACAATCCAATCAGTTTGTTATTTTAGAGTGCTTTGGAGTATATATTCTGCTAACACAATAAAATGCGACTACATGGGTTGCATGTGGAAATTGGAACAAAAGCTTCGAGTAGGCTTAACCATTCGCTAAAATTAACTTACGCTAGACTACTACAAATTTTGATTAATTTAATTTGGCCTATGTTAGACTTTGATGATATGAAGTTAGGCGACTTGCATACTAGGCGACTTCTATTTATTATGATTTGCTTGAAACAAATCTATAGGAGAAATCGCCCTCGTCAGTGTAAATCACAACGGCTACAGATCCTCCAGTGGAATGCTGGAGGGATGACACTGGACAAAAAGATCCAAGTAGGGAAAATCCAACAAACCTTAAAGTAGACATTTTCACTATTATGGAAGCAAACCTTTCGGATGATAAACTGAAATACTACCAATTCCCAGGTTACACCCTGTACCTTCGACCTAAATACCGGCAAGTTGCAAGTGGAATTCTGACTCCAGTAAAAGAGAGTCTTACATCACATTGCGATCTAATCGAGAGTATGGGCTCGACACAAGACATATGCGAAATAATCAAGATCCAAGTCTGGAAAATCCTACAAACCTATGATGTAGACATTTTCACAATTATGGAAGCAAACCTATCGGATGGCAAACTGAAATACTACCAATTCCCAGGTTACAGACGCACAAGGCATTAAAAGTTTTAGCCCATGAAGAGCCGAATACAGTCCGTTAATTGCCAAACAAGAAACTGATTGGATGGAGTAGGGTCGAATTATTTGAATATTCCCATGTTACATCAATTCTGAGTAATATGTTTGAGCACGTTTAACTAGTTGTAATTTCGTATACTTCAATCTCGTCGAAGTTGGTGCACTGATCAGAAGGAGTATAATGAAGAAATACAATATTTGACAGCCATATTAGTGGGCTATTTGGATTACACAACACTATCATGTCAGAAGAAACAGCCCTCATGCCACCTGCCCCGTAGGATACGAGGTTGGCGTGACCTCTCAGACAACCACTAATCAATAGTCGCTGCAAGAATAAACTGCCACTCAATTGCATTTGAATGACAAAGGTCTGTGTCAGATACACACACACACACACACACACACACACACAAACACCATCCAAATAAGAGCATTCCCCTCATACGTCCGTTGCCTCAACGTCGTGGTGCCAGTTTGGCTAGGTTCGAGGGCCATTTCATACCAGGGGATTTTATCATGGAGATTCCTGGGAAGAGAAGTTCACGGCTCATTTATGCATCAATCCACTACAGACTCAAAAGAGAAATGCCGAGATAGTTACCGTTTTATCAACTATTTGCTGAATTCCTAATGAACGAATTTGAGTTGAAGTTAATGATTAGATTTTGCTCAGCATATCTAAATTATTTTCTCTATTTCAATTGAGATATAATCGTTCAACAGTACGCAGAGGTACAAATACTACCATTGCATTGAAAAATGTTATATTCTTTGGTCGTTAGTCATTACAAAACTCACGGGAATTGCTTCATATTTCAGTGAAATTGTTAGTCACTGCACATTTGAAGTAGATAAAATATTTTCTCTTGATAAGTTGATCTTTGAAAATAATTAAGTTAAACCTCACCTCTGGCCTACTTTAACGCCAACAGACCGTGATATAGTGGGTGTCATATGATCCAAATATGCGAAACCAATACTTTGAGCAATCGGATTAACTTTGGAATTACTCACAAAGTGACCCTCTGCCACATGCTTTAAAGATATGTTCAAACACCACATGAAGGACAACAAGACACATTGGCTTATGAGCAATAGAGGTCATATTGAGAGAATTTTTCAAGAATTCATGACAGTATTAATAAACCGCAGTAATAATCTAACATTGGAATGGTATTGTATCATGTTTCTTTACAAAAGAAAGGGATTTAAGGGAAAATGTATCCCCTTTCTGAAACACAGTAAGGAGAGTTTAGCCGCCCCATGTTTAATCGCACGTCCACTCAAAATCGGCTCACATGAAGCAACCTTCAGTTGTGGAACAAAGAGTAGCATGTTCCTTACTTTGCTCAGCCCTTACAGACATTAATAATGCATCCAACTCCTCTTCTCTTTGTTTTAATCCGCATTTGAGGAACAAGGATACTTCGCTAGGAAAAAACAACGAGTTCACTTACTTCGGAGTGATGTTTGACACAAAGGTAACATGGAAAAGCCACATTGCTAAAGCAGCAGAACGAGTCTCCAATTGACTGAATGTTATGAAGTGTCTTGCTGGTAGCGTATGGGGCTGTGCACGCTCAACTCGAAATACCAATTGCAGATAATTGCAGAAATCGAAGATATGCTAAGCATCAACCCTCTGGAACTTATTTACAGCAATGAGGATCCGGCTACATATTTGCACTACAGTGGAACCAGAATAACTCCTGACTTACTCCTGGCTTCAAGCGATATCAGCGAGCATGAACTTCACACAAGTACCCTCAACTTCAACCAACATCCTCACAAACTTTGCAATGATATCACGAATATTATGATCCGATGTGCAAAGTAAACTATTCCACGAGGCAAGACTAAACATAATCGACTATGTTGGTCTAAACACCTTGAGGAACTGAAAGAAAGCGGGACGTCCTTCGCAAAACTGCTGATCAGACAGGAAGAACGGAAGACGTACAAGCCAGGAGAAGGCAGTCAGCTGTCCAAAGATAAGCCATCTTACAAGATAAACGGACTTCCTTCGACAAGTTCCTCTCTAATATCAACTATCAAAGTGAGAGCCAACGCACTTTCAAATTCCTGGGTAACCTCCAAAACAACAGAGAAAGACCCAAGAAAGAACCAATACGCTTAAACAGCAAATTGCTTACCACCAACACCGAAATAGCTAACTGCTTTGCTAGGTTCTATTCCCACAAGCAAAAGAAAAACCATTTTGTCAGAAAATCTTCAAGAGATTTAAAGATACAAGTAAGACAGTTTGGTGAAATTAAGGAAGACATAGCAACACCAAATAATGTTCATACTGAACCATTCAGACCTTGTGAGCTTAGTGCTGCGATAAAACAGCTAAAGTGCAAAAAATCTCCTTGCGAAGACGGTAATCATCCGGAATTTCTAATTAGAATGGGACCAAAAGCCAAGGAAATCATGCTGACGCTTTTCAACAAAATCTGGGAGACCAGTCCCGTACCTAACTAATGGAAAGTTGCCATAGTAATACCATTACTAAAAAAGGGCAAAGACCCTAGCAACTTTGACAACTATAGGCCTATCTCCCTCACAAGCGTGCTGGCTAAACTTATGGAAAGAATGGTTAACAGGAGGCTCACCTGGTTCCTTGAGACCAACAATATTCTTAGGAGTGAACAAGCAGGTTTTAGGCCACAAAGATCAACGAACCAACAAGTAGCCAATTTCTCCCAACACATCAAAGATGCCCTTGATGCAAGAAATACTCTTACAGCTGTTTTCGTCGATTTTAAATCAGCATATGACTTAGTATGGAAGGAAAAGCTAATTCTAAAATTGGCAAAGATTGGTATTAAGCATAACATGCTAAATTGGATAAAAGCATTCATTGGACAAAGATCGCGAAAAGCCAGATATGGAAATGCTCTAACAAAATCCAATCTTTTACAAACAGGCCTTCCACAGGGAGCTGTCACAAGCTGCACTCTTTTCAATGTCTTCATCAATGACATAGCCGAATCGGTACAGATAGTCACGGGCATCAAGTGCTTACGTTATGCTGATGATCTTGTTCTATGGTTTTCCGCACCTAAGAAAATCGCTCAGGAGAGGACAGAAAGTGCCCCAAATTGTGCGCTTAAACAACTAGCAAACTGGTGCAACAACAATGAAATGGTAATTAACACCGCGAAAACTGCATTCCAAACATCTTCTTTGGCCCGTCACAGCATAAACCCGCTTCTAAGGTACAAGGATACTTCCATAGAAAGAACCAATGAGTTCACTTATCTTGGAATGACGTTGACACAAAGCTAACGTGGAAAAGTTACATTGCTAAAATAGCAGAACGAGTCTCCAATAGATTGAATGTACTGAAGCGTCTTGCTGGTAGCCTATGGGGCTGTGCACGCTCGACTCTCAACACCAATTACAAGATGTTTATTCAGGCAATAATGTTGTATTGCTGTGAGCCACTCATTACAGCCACAGAGGTGACTCGCAAACCACTCGAGAAGGCACACAACCAAGCATTTTGACTAATTACTGGAGGGATAAAATAAACACCCATTGATGCAATGTTCCTAGTTACAGGGAACATAACAATATGTTCCCTTTCCTAAGAAAAGGCCTTGATCCTGTATGAGAAGCTACTGCGAATTCCCATGGACAAATTCTTCAGCACCTACTAAAACAGACCAAGACAGCTAAAAACGCAATCTGGTCTAATATCGAAAGCATTACAAATTGATGACAAACCAAAAAGCCNTACGAATAATTTCTTTAGGGATAAAATCAACACCCATTGATGCAATGCTCCAAGTTACGGAAGATAGAATTACACTCATCCATAATTACGACCAATTACTGGAGGGATAAAATCAACACCCATTGTTACAATGCTCCTAGTTACAGGGAGCACCACAATATGTTCCCTCAGAAAAGGCCTTGATCCTGTATGAGAAGCTACTGCGCATTGCCATGGCAAATTCTTCAGCACCTACTAAAACAGACCAAGACAGCTAAAAACGCAATCTGGTCTAATATCGAAAGCATTACAAATTGATGACAAACCAAAAAGCCTATCACTACCCCCAAAACCCATTAGCAGACACTGATGTAAAATGTAGCACCAAACTGCTTGACCATTTCATTAATGCAAATACCCCTCCTGAACAAATGCGCCCATTGGAGCTTGAGACAGTGGATGTAAGCTATCCTGCGGATCAATGGTTCCAAGTCCTCACTGATGGGCCATACATAGAAAACTGAGCAAACGTTAGTGGAGGTGTTTACTCTGAACTCTTCCCTTTCTATGCAGTAGCGGGACACAATAGATCCCCATTAAGATAGCACTAGGCCAATCGTGTTGCCTTGATACTTAATACACCAAAACATCAATTCTTTCGAACACACAGCCAGCAATAAATTCAACTGGAAATAGAGAGCTACCCAAAACATCCGAGATATACGAATGTAAAAACTGTATCAATTGCCGGGGAGAAAAAAGCAAAAGAGTAATTCTACAAAATATTTCTGGACACCGTGGCATTAAAGTCAGTGAGCTTGCTGATGCACTTGCTAGGAAGTGGACAACAATTATGCAAGGCGTAGACCAGCCGATGTCTTTCTACACAATGAAGAACTGAATCAGGAGAGAACTCAAAACCTCAAGGTGAAACGAACTTAAAGCTCGAACAAAGGAGAAACAGTGGACAGTGGCACTCTCCGACATAGCAGACTGGCCAAGAATCGAAACCGTGGAGGTAAGTCTATCGCACACACCCCAATTGAAATAGTAAACAGTTGGATTTAGCGCCATTCCAAATGGTCAGTTTTATTGCTCAAAATTCTTAATTTCACATATTCATTTAACAAGGTTCAACATAATGAACAGTTTGAGTCTAGATTTATTTTTTCCCAAGATAATCATCATCAATGAATGAAAAGTCGCAGATCTATTTTAAATCTAATCTACAGGATGGAAATGCAAATCAATCCTGGGTATTTTACAAGTGTTTAAGCAATCAATGCTGTGGTCCATGAGACAGTGTGAAATCCCAGTGAAATAGCTCTACGTTTTTCAAAGCAAAAAGACTTGGCCTCTAAAGTACCATCGGCAAACGCATTATTCATCTAATGACCTCTAATGGGAGAAGCCCAGATGAACTTGGTCGCACTACGGAATGATCACTGAATCACACACACATACATATATGCCCACTTTGTAAGTGGACAGTACTTCTCCAATTCAGTTTTTCGCGTGCATCCAGTGACCCCTCCAAACCCTTCTCCTCCNACATCCATTGACGCAATGCTCCTAGTTACAGGAGGCACCATAATATGTTCCCTTTTCAAAAAAAGGCCTTGAATCTGGATGAGATGCTACTGTGTATTCTCATGGACATGTTCTTAAGCACCTATGAAAATAGACCAAGACATCTGAAAACGCAATTGGTTCAATACAGAAAGCCATAGAACTGAAGCAAGCATTACAAGTCGATAACAAACAAAAAAAGCCTCTCTCTACCCATGAACCCATTAGCAAACACTGATGTAATGTGTTGCTCCCAACTGCTTGACTTCTTCA